AAAAAAAAATCCGCTGGGGCATTATGAGAGGAATAAATGAGCTGCCGATTGTCGAAAACTGTCACCAAATATTTGGCCCCGTTTAGAAATTAGAGTGAATGCAAGAAAGGGGTAGTTTTCGATGCAATTTACAACTTCCTCGCACATTAGACAAGTCCGTGCTCGCTTAATTTTCAAGCAAAAAATTCGAACAAAAAAGCATTGGAGAGTGCATTTCATTAGAAATAATGTGGTGTTTGAAAAATTGAAATCGTATTATGCATTCGGCCGCTGCTGCAACAAATGCGCGTAAAATGGCAAAACGTTGATTCAGTGACCTTGAACAAAAACATGCTACTATTCAAGAAGCTGCAGAAAAAAAACTATAGAAGATAGAGGGGTGCTGTCGCTGAGTTTTTTATAGCAAAAAACTTCAGCTACAACATTCATTTGAAACTTTTTACTATTGAACCATCCCTTTGTGCAGCGTTCTCCATAAACCGCAAATTACCCCTAAAAACCACCCCTAACTGAAAACCCTATGGAAGTACAAGGTCGCAAACTTAATATGTTGTTTAGCATATTAAAATGAACCGATCCCCCCAAAAAAATTTCAACTTCTAATTATGTTGAGGTAACCCCTCTTTTCAGATCTCCGTTTCTTGGACTATAAGGCTAGTCCAGTTTTTTTTCCGTAAATACCTACTGATTTTTGGGAATCTGTAGTCTTGAAAGATTTTTGTGCTGCAATCCAAAGAAAAATTTAATTTTTTGCGGTATGTGCAATTCGAAAAGGGCAAGTGACAAAAGTTTTTAAATTACTTTGAAAACCTTGGTTGTCCTTATTTTATCCTGTTTTTTTCTGAATAAAACTCAACTTGCAATGGAATTAATATGACTATAAAATGGCACTTTTATTGTTGATTTTTTATTTATTTTATTGTTAATGCATTTAACACAAGAAATAGACATTCATTGAAGATACAAAATAAAAATAATTGAGACAGTATTTCTGATGATCGCCCAACAAAGGATTTGTGAGATTTTTTTAAAGAAAAAATTAAATCGGCCATATTTTGAAAACGATAAGACTTGGTACTAAGGTAAGTTTGACTAAATAGGTTCTAAATGACTTACTCTATCACCTCCCAAAATATATGCATCGACCTACCAAACACCCTGTATTTATGTAAGGTAAAGTACCCAGTTGTTGACATGTTAAGGGTATCCTTGCTTATGATCACCACACATTTTCCAAATTTTCAAATCCAAGGCTTTGATATATTTGTTGGCGTGATTTCAAACTCATAATTAAATGTTTAGATATATTATTATTATTATTATTTATTTATTCACGGGATGTCCCCATTTTACAAAAGTATAATTACATTAAGTAATTACAAAATATTCCATTCCAACCAATCAAATTAACAATTATAATATAAAATTATTTAGAGATAATCTGGCAACTTAAATAAAACAAAAATAAAAATATTCCATTAAAACTAACATTTTCGCTAATACCTAGATTCAATTTATATTTCTAATATACCTGCTCAGACACTGCTTAAACCCTGTATATTTAATATCAATCAGATCATAACACTTCCCAAAATCTGAATTCTATTAATAGGAGAAAATTTACCATAGTTTGTGCGATGGTACACAACCGAAAACAAAGGCGAGTTTCTGAGAGTACGCTCACTGCATCTTATTTACCCTATATTCCTATTATTTGTGTTATTATGCCAAAAATACCTGAAAGGTGATAAAACCCCAATAGTTGACACCCAAAAAAGTTCACTTCGCCAAAAGTTGACACATTTTTGGTCCAAAGGTTGACATATATTTTTTTACAAAACCAAATTTTCACTTTTAAGAAATTTTATCACGGTCTGTGGAACTAAGAAGTATATTTTTCTTAGTGTACAATTTTTTAAATAAAATATATGCACATAATAACCAATTTTTTTTAAATATATGTTGTGGTTCCATTACTTGACACTCTTGAAACCAATAGTTGACATGTTGCCTGTATCAGTAGGAACCCTGGTAAAAACATCAATAATGTAAGAATCAAACTTTTTATTAATAAAAAATAACATTGGGAAACTTTTTGTTGGGAAAAAAATACAAATTTAAATTCCAAATTGGTAATAGAAGAAATTGCTTGGAAAGCATTGGTACATTGTGTTTTTTTGCTGATATAGCTACAGTAAGCCCCCTATCGCAAGCATCCAACGCAGCAATCATGTCTTCTGGTGGTTCTGGTGCATATTTCAGCAATTTTCATTTTTCATAAGCCATCTCTTGATTTAAACCTCAAAGGACCAATTGTTGACACTCCAAAGCTCCTAACATTGACAGGGGTAACAGGGCTGTCATCTATTGGATCTACGACCGTTACATTCCCCAAACCCATATCTAGGTTACTTTTTAATCCAGAGCAATAAAAAGAGACAGACTACAATGTTAAAATATTTTTACCGCCAAAAATCCAAAAGTTGACACTAGTGTCAACATTTGGATCACCCCTCGATTTGGGCTCCAATAGTTGCCAGTTGTTTAAGAGATAAAACAATAATCAATATGTATTACAATGTATCTTATTATACAGTAAATATATATTATTCATAAATTATCAACCCTACCTTAGCTTTTGGAACTTTTGTTTTTATATCTTCTTAACTACTTTCACTAGAAATCTTGGAAAAAGTTCAAACGCGTATAAGCGCGCTCAAATAGTGCTTATGATTAAGACTGTGATTATGACTATGATTATGATTATGACTATGCAAATGTTGTATAAACCCGCCAATAATTCTCAAATTTGCACAATTGCGCTAGTCGACCCTACAACTTTTATATTTGAAATGTGTTGAAAAAAAAATGTTTGTTTAGGTTGTAGAAGCTGCACTTATTATAAGGAATAGACATGACTTAACTAAGAGGTGGGGTAGGCTAGTACATAGTACAAGTGTACTTATTGCTTGTGAGTTACCAGGGAACAGGAACACTTAATTTCAATAGTAATAGCCAAATCTGCAGGAGCCCTCTTAGTATGCAATTAACATTGGTGAAAAATTATTTTGATTCATGCATTTTCATAATGTTAATAACCCTTCGCCGAGCGCTTTGCAAAACTAGCAGTCCCTTTGTTTTTCAGACTACAAAAAAAAACACCAAATTTTGAAATGAGGGCCCTAACTACATAGCACCTAAAAACCAGTAATATTTCGAATGAATTCCAGTTTTTGTTTTATTAATAAATTACCGCCGTGTTTTTCACCACACACTTCGGTTTTGGAACGACGTGTTTCATCGCGGCGATGAAAACCGACGAGAAAGAACGTAGTGTGTGGGGCCCTCCAGGATCGGGCGACTTATCCCCACCATGGACCGCCCGCACCCCAAATCTCCCCTGGCCTATAAACATGTTGTCAACACAACAAATAGTATTTTATGAATGGAATACTCTGTGTATCTGTGATAATAGGTCATTGGAATAACCCCTGTAGGTGGGTGACCATGTACCGGGTGGACCAAATGCCAAGCGTATCATTGGGATTAACAGTCAGAGATTCAAGATTCAAGGCTGGTTAAATTACGGCATAGTTGCGGATTTCAGTGTTCAATGAAATGTCGCTGTGAAATTTAAGATACCTAGATATATTAAGCCACTTTGTTCCTTTGCAAAATGTCACCATCCAAGTTAGAATTTAACATTTTGTGGATTTTTTATTTATGTATTGTAACTCCTGCAGCCAGTGGCGTATTACATCTCAATTTAAAATTTTTATTTAAGGGTAAGAGAATAATGTGATAGATAAACAGCCATTTGTTGAACTTAAATGGTTTTGCTACCTCTTTTTTTTTTTGTCAGGAAAAACTGCAGTACAAAAATTGAACATACTGGTTCTAGAAATGTTTGATGAAGTTGGAGGTTTTCGGTTCCATAACAATGATCCCTTCCTCAATCACAAACCTGTATTTCACTAGTAGAACAAGAAAAATTGGGTGCAATTTTCAAATCATGAGAATCTTAGGCCAGAAAGTGTGGGTACTGCATGTATTCAATTATCAAATCGTAATAAAAGGGGAAACTTTGGACATGGTCTGCCAATTAATAAATAGAAATTTAAATAGGCCTTGTCACAAAATAAAATAACAGTTATTGAGTTTTATCTTAGGTATCTTTATCACATATTTTGCAGTTTTGTGAAAACTATGAAATGTTCGCTAAACGTTTTATACCTACTACCACGCCTATAGTGTTCTATAACTTGAGATAATACCTATATTTGTTGGTTGTTGTTATTCTGGGTGTGCGTGTGCATCTGCTGATTCTCCATCAGTCTACCGATTGTTGCTCGGATTGTTGAGAATCACTTGATTTTACCGACGTTTCGCTAAAATCGCATTATTCGCATTTTCAAGTATTCTTCCTTATTTGGTTGGTGGATGGAATTCATAAAAAGGATAGGACTCGGAATACGATACTATAAACCGAGCTATAAACGTACTTAAAATTACCTATAATATAAAAATGGGTAATTCTCAATCAGTGCCTCAAGATTCAGGCATTATTTATGTTGTTTAATTGACATGTGGGTTTTGTTTTTCTTTCTTTTTTTTTTTTTTGAATAAGTACAATTTAAAACTACATAATTTCTGGCAAATCTCAGTCCTAGAAATTGGTTTGTGCGATTTCGTGTACCTGCGTGATACCCTCGTTTTAAACATTGTTTCATTTTTTGAGTTGTCTAAAAACGGTGGGTACTTTTGCTCTAGGTTAACGAATTTGATACACTCTTGAACAAGCCCTTAAATTATTCGGTGTTTTGAAAATAGGCGAAAGCCTATGACTGACGTTATTCAAAAACCCTAATTAAGTACCCCCAAATTCTCTAGCCAAGAGCAAGGGAACTCATCGCCGAAATATAAATCAAAGCACCCCAGAAATGTTTTCAAAGAAATAAAGGAGTATTGAACGTATATTGACAAGTATTTCTTATTTTTAGGTTGGACCCAGGAGCAGGTCACTTAATAACATTTTTGCAGTTTCTTTTTATAGCAGTTCATGGATTCATATATACCTCAAAGTTTGGCACTGTTAAACCAAAAGTTCCTTTGAAAGAATATTTAATTCTAGTTACATTTTTCTTTATCACCAGTGTTATAAACAATTGGGCATTTGCTTTCAATATTCCCGTACCTCTACATTTTATATTCAGAGCTGTAAGTATTAAAAAAATATTTAGTTCCTTTTACAAAAAAAAAAAAAAAAATGTAGAAAGGTAAATTTGACAGTAAAATATTTTTTAGGGATCTCTTATCGCAAATATGATAATGGGGATTTTCATTTTAAAGAAGAAATACACAGTGGATAAATATATATCAGTATTAATGATAACAGCAGGGATTATTATTTGTACTCTATCTTCATCCAAAGATGTCGGAAAGGTAAGTTATTTTACAATAACCGCAACTGACGATATCAATGAATCAACCAATATTTTTTTTATGAAAAACCTGGTATCGTCTACTTCATTCCACTGAGAAAGTATCGCGGACATCCTCTTTTTCTGAATGGTTTTCAGCAGAATTACGCAAATTATTCCTGGAAAAGAATAGTACACTTTTTTGCTATGTAAATGGAGAGTCTAATTTAAAATATATAAGATTTTCTCAACTGCCCTAAGAGTGCAAGGTGATGCTGGTTTCAATAATCGCATTGCAAGCTTTGTCCTTCTGCGAGTTCCGAGGCGAGTTTATTAATGGCAAGCACTCAGGTCATAGTCTCCCTAATAATTTATTCTGTGGTGATCGAGCTCCGTCTAATGATCATGATGGTGCTTATCTGTTTGGAGAGTTCCTCCGAACTGTATACACAAGGGGGCATAGTTTATATTGGCAGTACTTTTTCAATTCATGCTCTAACGTTTCAAAAACTGAGATCTTCAACGACTTCAACCTTATAAAAAAGCTTATAAAGAAAGCCTATAAGAAAATATCCCAATATTTAAGAATGGTTATAAGAAAAATAGAGAACTATCGCAGTATATGTTTACAATCAGCTTTACTAAAGCTGTTTGGTTTTCTTACTAGCAAACAGAGAACTTGGCGATGCAGAGACCTTAATTCTCAGAGGCAACATAGATTTTCTTGTAACAAATCAATAATGACCAACTTAATAATGTATCACTCTGGTAAAATAAATAAATAAAAAAACAGATTTGACCCAAGTATTTTATCAAGGTTCCAGAACTCACTGACTGGTCGTGTCAAACGTTGTAGGCGGATACTACTGCTCTAAAAGGTATCATCTGGTCCGCCACAGGGCCATCATTGTTCACCATTGTTGTTTAACATTCTTGTTAATTAGATTGTTGATTGTTTTATAAATAGTAGATGTTTAATGTTGTAGACGTTCTCAAACTTTGGCGAGCAGTGGAAAGTTTTCTCGACTGTGATCGCTTGCAAGAAGATTTATATTGTTTATGAAAATGGTGTGGAACTAATCAACTTGATTTAAAAAAAAAGCTGTTTTATGAACTGATATCATAAATGATCAGCATCTCAAATGTGTGTCTTCAGTGAGGGATATCCATATTGTTTGTGATGAAAAATTGTCCGTTGTCGAGGTTATATTACCAGTAAATGAAATTTTTGGCCACTAGTTCTCGTATTTTTGCTGCTGCTTCCAGGTAGGCCAAATAACCAGACAGCAGATATGGGTTTTGAAATTCTTGTGAATTTTCAATAGCTTGTTATCAGCTGCGCCTTGTAAAGCTGCAGTTGGTGTTGATCCCCATAATGATGCTTAAAAACATCAACAAGCGTACCATAGTTTTGTTGGGAAGCTGGCAGAAGAGTCTCTAAGGCAGGGCTAAGCAATGCTACAATCGAACCTATATTTTCCAGAGCTCCTACCTTTAGCAATTTCAACAATCTCGAGAAGACGCCTGTACACTTGGCTAAATATAAAACTGGTACAGGCAATAGATATTTTTTAAATTTGCCTAATGTGAGTCTAGCTTAACAATAAAATGTTTCTTCTTTAAAACTCAGGTTTGACAGTTTTTGACATTCGACATTGTGGAATGTATTTGCGGCGGCATTTTGTTTGATTTGAAGATGACACTGACTGGACTCTTTTTGTTATTTTTGAGGTGCTAATAAAGGTCGATTTACACAATACAACACATAGGAAAATTCATGTACCAGTTTTATGTTCGGCAAAGTGTACATCGTCAATGATGTCTGACCGTCATATGGTGATGGTTTAATTGAGACATTTCCTGATCCCATATTCCAACTTTTCAATTTTCTTCTGAATACTATTCATTTTTTTATTTATGTATTCACGGAATGCCTTGAGGGATGCAAACCAGTCAGAGTGAGTTTCATTGGTTGGAACTAGTTTTCTGACTGTTTTCAACCAGTGTAATTCGCTCTGACTGGTTTGTGATTGCTGTGCGAACAGGTCTCTCATATTTTCAATATACACTGCTTAATCTCTGTATATTTAGTATCATTCAGATTTAGTAGAGTGCCCAACGCAGTTGAAGCCTTCTAAAAATGAGCTTTGTAGGCGCGTCGGGATTACAAGCTGAAACTTGCACAGAATGAAGGTTTTATTATGATTCAAAATCCCAAGGTAATACAAAATCAGAACGAGCAAAAGGGCAGTATACTTAAAAATTGAGATTATTGCATGAACATATAGAATAGTAATTTATGACTGTTTTCATATAAAATTTATCAATATTTTTGTACAAATTATATTTTTTTATTATTGCTTCAAATAAGCCGAATACATTGGCCCTTAAGTAAAATAAATCTAAAAATTAAAATATCTCCGTTTAAACCTGAGCAAAATCTGATTGAAATATACACATTTTTGCATTCACCTCGCATTCTCTCCGAAATAAAGGCTCAAATCAAAAACTTTTATTCTTGCAAAAAGTTTGCGCCATGTATCTAGATTATGTATGTGCAAGAATAATTTTTTTGTCTTGAATTTTAACGGCAATATAGAATTAAACATAAAAAAAGTAATTTTCTTCTAGCCGCGACAGCTCGCTCTCGCGCTGCGCCAGTACTCTTCCATCTCACCTTTCTCCGTAGCTCCCTCTCTCTCTCGCTATTTGTAAAATACAATAAACCCTTTCACGTATTATATACCTTTGAATGAAATTGAGCAAAACTGGAAAATAAAAAAATCGAGATCTTCATAAGGGTACCCCATTTGAATTCTGATTTCAAAATATTCAAACCTCAATTGCTCGGTAACGGTTCAGCAAATTGCATTAAAATTTCCAAAATTTGTAGTTTTTATCAAGTTCTAAATGGCCTTTAATTTAGAGTATTTCCAGATCTATAGTTTTTGTGCAAATTGAGTTTGAAGTTTTTGACAAAATTTGGACTAAAAGTCAACTTTGAGGCTCAACTGCTCAAAAACTATTTGAGCTATCAAACTCAATTTTGCAAATATTTATAGAGAATTTAATGCTCTTTCCAATGATATATAATTTAATTCAATTTGCTCAAAATTTACCAAAGATATGGGCAATTTTTCCAGAGCCAAAAATAGGATTTTCTTTTTATTTTTGTTTCTGCTTAAAATGGCCATTTGGAATTGATGTCAGGGTTAGTTTCCACTAATTTTGAACCGCTCTATCGATTATTCTACCATTATGGAGTGTATGACAACAGTCATAAAATAATATTCCATACGTTCATGCAATAATCTCAATTTTTAAATATACTGCCCGGTCTGATTTTGTATTACTTTGGGATTTTGAATTAATACAATAAAACCTTAATTCTGTGAAAATTTCAGCTTGTAACTCCGACGCTCCCACAAAAGTCAAAATATATTATAAGGAGCACTCTACTAATTGTAATGCTGGTTAAATTAATTTCCCAATATCGGCATTATGTTGATAGGGGTGAACTTAGCATAGTTTGTGTGACGATATACAACTGAAAATAAGGGCGTATTTCTGGCAGTACGGTCAGTGTCGAAATAAGGCAGAAGGCAATAGATTACGTCACATCTAACTCTTTAATTCTCATGAGAAGTGAGGTTCAACCTCGATGTCAGACCCACCAGCGATATTGTCCGATCCCAAGAGTTAAAAGGTGTCTTAGATAATGAGGCGACCACACTCACAAGTATTAGATACAGGATTCTAAAGGCAGACACTGGGAAATCTCGTGAGTTCTTAGTGATAAAACCAAGAAGCAAGAAGCCGTATTTGACAATTCATAATAACATCATAATCGCATTGAGAAATTGCACAGTGCAATTGGTCAAGCCTAAGTACATACTGCACCCAGATAATAAATTGACATTGAGCTTACTGTACTTAGTTTTTTGATGGAGGTTTCCTGCTTATAGTGCACATTCCATTAACAAACCTAATAAATAGGACAGGTTCGGCTTTTCGTTCACGAGCGCGCAGGTCAGCCAGTTTAGGTATCATAGTATATCTTAATGCTGTCATTGCTGCCTTCTGCCTTCCTCTTCTTGTCTCTTCTCTCCGATAGTAGACCTACACAACAATTTTCTTATTCGACTGACTGCAACTCATGCATTTTTTGCTGGCTTTTGTTATACAATCCCATCCAATCGAGTAGTCACAATGGAAAAGAATTCCTGAATCCTCCACCTGTCGTGCTAGCGTCGGTGGCAATGCAATTTGATTCATAAATCAATGGATGTATGTTAGTTCGATTTAGGTTTTCGCAGAGAACAATTTATCATTCACCATAGCAGTATATTATTTTGTTTTTAGAGTTGTACTGACTGTGATATTAAGAGTAACATAGGAATATCAGCTACATCACATCAAGATGAAGCTGTAGATGCAAATCAATTCTTTTGGTGGCTGGTAGGCATTTTGCTGCTGACTGGCGCTTTGCTTCTGTCAGCTAGGATGGGCATTTACCAAGAAACACTTTACAAAGTTCATGGAAAACATCCCGAAGAGGCTTTGTATTATACTGTAAGTAATTAGAAAAGTTTTGGTAGCCGTCACTTATATTCCATATTGTTTACGCTTATAAAATAAATAGAGGTGAATGTTGATAAAAGCACGGTAAGTCCAGTGAATATATAACCCTTTTCACGTGGCTCCGGTTTAACAAACCTTAACATACCGCTCCAATTCGAGTGGTAGGTATCCATCACGTCACTTTGTAACCGGGTTAGAAAACGGTATGTCACTTCTCTAACCGTTTTGTAACCCGGTTAGTTAAACCGGAGCCACGTGAAAAGAACTTATGGGTTTTTCAAAAAGATTTACAAGGGCAGGCTTAAATAGCACAAAAACAGCTGAACCAAATATCAACATACAGTGTGTCAAATCCTTACCGTCAATGTCAATCCGCATTATTAGTGTTGTAAAATACTCGAGAATTTATTTTTGAAGAACGTTCTCCGAGCACGAACGAGAATAATGAGCATGAAAGAAATAAAGTCATGGGATAATGAAAAATTAAAAAATATCTGCTTATAGTTGGTAGATCTATAAATAAAGTGTTTCTAGGAGATGACGAAGCTATCGATTTTAAAACAAAAAACTTGAAAATATTACACTTTTTTCTAGACATTTTTCGTCTGATTCCCTGAAACCAAACCCTGCTAGTCAGCTGTCGACTGTTGGTAATTTTCCTCGATCCCCGGACCCCAGTGTTGGAGAATAAATGTTATCTATTATGCTAATTTTTATTAGGGAACGTTCTCGTTCGTGCTGATTCGTGCTTTTGACAAGGAACGTTCCCATTAAGTCTTGAACGTTCCCATTAAGTCTTGAACGTTCGCGAACGTTCTCTGAGAATAAATGGGAACTTTCCATAATAATTTACAACACAAAAGTCCTTTTCACGTGGCCCGGTTTAAACTTACCAGGTTACGAAATGGTTAGTAGCGGTATGTCAAATATGACATACCGTTTTCTAACCCGGTTACAAAGTGAAGTGATCGATACCACTCGAATTTGAGCGGTATGTTGCGGTTTGTTAAACCGGAGCCATGTGAAAAGGATTTATGCATTATCCAATAGAGACAGCACCAGTCGGCAAGGAAGAGATATTGACGTTGAATGATGAGCAGCATTTTTTTTTTTGAATCTAGTTTGTTAGGTTTTTCGTTTGTTAGACGATTGCTACGCAACTAAAATTATTGTTATTATTATTATAATTTTTTGATACACTTACGTACGTCTCGTCTGATTCAATTGATAATACAGAAAAACAAATGAAATGCTTAATAATCTTCAGTAAAGTACAACAAAGAACAATGTTCTGACACGTCGATCTTAATTTTTACTGGCACTGTTTTTAAAATAATTTATATCTATACAAGGTGACCCAAACAAGAGATATCACATGACACTTCAATTTTTCAAATGGAATGCCCTGAATATTTGGATGAATATCGATAGAGCGAGAATTCATCTCGATGGGCTCTATCGATATTCATCAAAATATACAGGGCATCCCATTTAAAAATTTGAAGTGTCACGTGATATCTCTTTTTTTGATCACCTTCTATAAATAGAAATTAGTTTGGAAACAGCGCTACTAAAAATTAACATTGACGTGTCCGAGCGTTTTTCCAGAAAAAAAAAATGTTTAAATTTTGATTGAATTTATCCGTTACTTTATATGGTATATTTGGAATTAAAAAAAAATCAATCATACTTACCAAAAATATACACGGCGTTCCATTTAAAAAATGCAAGTGTTTGTCGTTATGACAGGTTGGCACCTGTCATTTGCCCGTTTTGACATGTGCAAAAGATAATACAGGTAAAACACCACAACTTTTTTATTCAACGTTTTTAATTTTTTATTTTTTTTTAAGTTGTAGAAGCCGCATTAATTATAAGGAACGCACAATAATCTGCAGGTTTGCTATTTAATTTTTCCGAACTCTGAAGCAGTAACATGGTGGCAGCGCCTAAACTTAAATAGCTAACAAAAAAAGTCATGAGGCAGAGTTGATCAGAATGCTATTATCTACAACGTTTATTTAGGTCATTTTGTCGAAAAAAAATATATAAGAAAAAGGCCAATATGGCCCAACGCACAACGCTCTCGAGTGTGATTTATTTGTTCAATGCTCAGGACACAGTCTCCAATCAGCTCTGAAAAAATCAGCCTGCCCTCTTAAAATTTTTTGCAAAACCTATACATAATATATTCACTGGACTACGTCATCACATAACGCCTTCTGCCTTGGCACTGATCTTTGTATTGTTCTAGTTTCCCTCGTAAGAAACTTTCGAAAAAAAAAATATGAGCTAATAGTTAACTGTTTAAAATATATTCAAGTTATTATTTTTATCACAAATCTAATAAATTATTTGTCTAAACGATTCAGAAAACCTATGCGGTGAAAACAAACCTAGAAAAGGGAAAAGTATTTACAAGGTTGGAAACAATAGGAGATGGTAACTGTCTCTTTAGGGCAATTAGCTTACACCTTTATGATAACCAAGAAGCACATAATCAATTGCGGTTGAAAGCTGTTGAACATATACGCAGAAATTGGGAGAAGTTTAAAAATTTTGTTTTGGTTGATGATGAAGATCTAAAAACCGTATGCAATTATTGTAATTACATGAGTAAGGCCAGCACATATGGCACAAGCCTCGAAATAATGGCATTATCAGAAACTCTTAAAGTATCTTTTAACATATATACATCAAGAACCAAAATAAACGAAAATGAATACTCAGGAAAACAACCAATAAAGATCTGCAGCAGAAACTACAAATTTGTCATATTTTTACTATTGATAGGAAACCCCCAAAATGGACACTTTGAACTTTTAACTCCAGAAAACAAAGAATCGAAACACCACAATAACCAATTAGAAAATAAAAAATACGACACTCTACAAAAACTGGAAATGGATAAGAACTGTTCACACCTCCACACAGACGATCCAGGCTACGAGAAAATGAAGAACACCAAAATGCTCCAGCAAACAAACCTGAAGAGAACTGCAACGAGGCAACTCAAAGCGGCCCTTTAGGTACACAAATCATACAGACCAATGAAGAAAAGAATCATGGCAAGAGAGAAAAATGGAGCAAAGAAGAGTATAAAGAAATTATGTGGTGCTATTGTTTTCTGCAAGAAACTGTGGGAACAAAAGGCATAAAAGACAACTATGAACTATGGAGAAAAAGGAACCCAGATAAAAGGCCAAATATAACAGCAAATACTCTGGCAGCGCAGAGAAGGTTTATACAAAAACAAAACAAACTTACAGAAATTGAAATGAATGAAATAAACGAACAAATCCGGAACATGAGTCATGTAAAGAAACATTTATAGAAGCCGCTAACACTTCCAAAAATAATATCTACAACGAAACAACAGAAGCACTATGTAAAGAAATATACCTGGAATCTTCAAAGTGTGAAGACTACTCAAGGAAAAAACTGCCAAAGATAAAAGATAATCAAAAATCAAAGCTAGTAATTGAAAATGCCAACACCGCACTAGGGAAACTACTAAAACCAAACGAAAACCAGGATATCTCAAAAACTAATAAGCTAATTTACGCGACAGGAATAGTCATTTGCAAGGCTCTGGACATCAAGAATGAAGAGAAAAAGCTAACAAATCACAGCCAAGATGGAAACTACGAATTAGTGAACGAATAAACCGCATGAGAAAAGAATTATAACAAATAATAGAAATTACACACGGAAACAATTTAGTAAGAATGAACATAATTAAAAAAAAGTTATATGAAAAACACAAAATAATGAACGAAGAAACCAGGAAAGAAACTTCTGAAAAGCTAAAACAGAAAATTTAAGCCAAAGCACAAAGTTTACGAAGATACAACCTAAGATACCAGTTTTACATTCAAAACAAACAATTTGAAGAAGACCCAAAGAAATTATACCGAAATTTAAAACAAGAGAAGAGCGAGGTAGAAGAAATTCCATCGAATGAAGAAATACGAAAATTCTGGCAAAACATATGGGAAAAGGAGAAAAATCACAATCAAAAAGCAAAATGGATAGACCAGGAAATTAAACGGAACTTAGAACTAGAAGAAATGCCATGGGAAGAAATTACAGACAAGGACATCTCAAGTACTCTCAAAAGGGCAGCAAACTGGAAGGCACCGGGGTTGGACGGAATACAAAACTTCTGGCTCAAAAATTTAACTGCAGTACACTTACCATTGGCGCGAGAATTTAACATCCTCATCCAAAACCAACAACTCATGCCAGACTGGGTAGCGGAAGGAAGAACAGTGGTACTCCCGCAAAAAAAAAACAAAAACAGAAGCAAAAAACTATCGGCCCATAACCTGTTTATCAACAATCTACAACAACCTAACGGCAATACTAAGTAACAAGATATACAACCATCTAGAACGAAATAATGTGTTTCCTATAGAACAAAAAGGATGTAGGAAAAACTGCTATGGAAGCAAAGAGCAACTCTTAATAAACAAAATGGTAACCGAAGATGCAAGAAGAAAAAAGAAAAATCTTAGAATGGGCTGGGTAGACTATCAAAAAGCATTTGACAGTGTACCGCACTCATGGCTGTTAGAAACACTTTCCATCTACAAAGTAAATCCCGAAATAAAAAATATGATAAAAGCAGCAATGGAAAAGTGGAAAACACTTCTCGCACTTACTTTTCAAGGGAAAAATTTAGAAGCAGGAACTATAAACATAAAAAGTGGAATTTTTCAGGGAGATTCATTATCGCCCCTTTTGTTCTGTATGGCTCTGTTTTCGTTGTCAAATGAACTCAATGGAACCAAGAAAGGGTATAAAATACAAAAAGGAAAACCGCCAATAAACCATTTATTCTATGTTGATGATTTAAAACTGTACTCACGAGATGACAGGGAACTGGAAGAGCTATTCAAAACTGTAAATATTTTCAGCAAGGACATTGGAATGAATTTTGTCTTAGACAAGTGACAAGTGCGCGAAAGTAACTATAGAAAAAGGAAACATGAAAAAAACTCAAAACATGAAAATAGATGAAGAAACTGAAATAAGAGAGTTAGAGGGAAAACAGTATTATAAGTATTTAGGTATACACGAAAACACATAAATTGACCATCAAAGCATGGAACAAAAAGTGACAGGGGAATATTACTCTAGAGTGCCGAAGATCCTTAGAAGTCAACTAACTGGTAAAAATAAATTTCTCAGCATAGCAGCACTTGCGCTGCCCGTAATGACTTACAGTTTTGGAATCTTAAATTGGAAGGAAGAAGAACTGAGGAAAGCCAATACAAAAACACGAAAACTTCTGACAATGTACAACCTACACCATCCAGAAGCAGATATTGATAGATTATATGTCCCAAGAGCCAACGGAGACAGGGGATTAGTGATTAGTAAATATTGAGAAAACGTTCAAATTAACCATCATTGGCTTGACAAGTTACGTAAGTGGGAAAGTAGAAGACAGATTCATCCTTATGTTGAAACAATACGAAAAAGACAAAGCAGGAAAATCAGTTTTAAAACAGGGGAAAAAATGGACAGAGCAATATTTAGGAAAAGGAAGCCAAGATAGGTGCATAAACAGAGAAATAACAGCAAACGCGAAACAGCTAAAGCAACTATGTAAAGAAAATATAAATAAAGATACGGAAGGAAAATGGACAGAAAAGCAGATGCATGGCCAGTACAAGAGAGAAACTAACACATAACAGGTAGATAGAGAAAGGACATTCAGATGGCTTCGTAATGGAACTCTAAAAGGGGAAACAGAATCAATCATTGTAGCAGCACAAGACCAAGCAATATCAACAAACTATATTAAGCATAAAATACATCGACAAAAAATAGACCCTAAGTGCAGATTATGCAAAGAATATGATGAGACTATCAAACACATTACAACAGGATGTCCAGTAGTTGCGAAATATGAATACATAAAAAGACACAACAAAGTATGTTCAACACTTCATTATAACATCTGCAAATACTATAACATAGAAGTTGAAGACAAATGGTTCAAACACAAACCCAAAAACGTAGAACTGACAAAAAACGTAACAGTGATTTGGGACACTCAGGTACAAACGGATGGAACAATAGCTGCCAACAAGCCAGACATAATTATAAAGGACAAGGAAAACAAAAGTTGCTTATTAATAATAGATGTAGCAATCCCCTCGGACAGAACTATCAAGGAAAAGGAAGCGGAAAAGATACTAAAGTATAGAGATTTGCAGATGGAAACCCAAACAATGTGGGGTCTTAGAACAACAATAATTCCAGTCGTGATTGGCGCTACGGGAACAATAAATAGAAACCTTAAAGAATGGCTAGCAAGAATACCAGGGAACAATACACAAGTTTTGATGGACTCCATTTAAAAAACTACATTGCTTGAGACAGCTCACATAATCAGAAGAACGATAGGCTAAAATTAAAAACCCATTTAACCTAAGAAACATGGTTTGTTTTTGGTAAATGTCAAAGAAAATGACAGTGTAGTATGACAATAATAATAATAATAATAATAATAATAATAATAATAATGTTTATTCACAGCAATATTTACAAATAACTATCTCTATCCTACATCACTTTAAGCCGAAATAAACATTTCAAAGGCATTTTAAAGCCTTAATGGCTTGTTTGCCCATGCTGGGGGTATCTTGAGTTATCACATCGAAAGATCAGTTTTTGTAGAAATATGAATTATTAACGACGGTGACTATATTTTCAATTATTTTTAATTTATATATTTTCAGCATCTCTACTCACTTCCTGGATTTTTATTGTATGCCAGCAGTATTTGGGAACATTCGCTTATCGCAAGTAACAGTGACCCTGTCCAAATTTCTTTTCTTAGTGCTAGCACTGCAGTGCCAATTATTTGGATTTACTTACTCCTAAATGTTCTGACCCAATACCTGTGCATCAGTTCTGTATATGTATTAACTACAGAATGTGCCTCTCTTACTGTAACGTTAGTAATTACTTTAAGGAAATTTTTGTCTTTAGTGTTTAGTATTGTATATTTTCAAAATCCATTTACTTTGGCTCATTGGTTTGGTACTGGTTTAGTTTTTGGTGGCACCTTACTGTTTGCTGAAGTACCAAAGAGAATTAGAGCTCACATAAAACCAGAAGGAAAAATTGAAAAAGTTCAATAGACAATTCAATTTTGTTGTTCTATCTAGTCCATTGAGGTTAGTGTTTTTGAAATATGTTTAAAGAAATTAATAGCAATAGTTAGATCAATTTCAAATTGTTTGTATGTTAATACAAACCATAATGTTGTATTTTTTTTCATTTTTGACCAATTAGATTATATATTTTTGTTAGAATATATAATGTTATGTTATTGTTGGTAATATGTATGAAGTACATGTAATATACAGGGTATCCAAATAAGGGTACGGAGCAGTTGTATCCCGACAATGGTAATAAATAAATAAATCGAGAATGGATGGAAATATCGCGATGCGGCTTAAACTAACATTCACCTAATTTTATGAGGGGTTAGGATCTGTCAAGAAAATAGTATCATTCCATTTAACTTGTTTTCCCAAAAAAATCACAAAAATGTGTAATTGTTGCGGATAACGCCCGTGGATTATTTGTTTTTAAAATAAACTAAACGGTTCAACAAAAAATGACTTTTAAAAGACCATAAAATACTTTCAAACGAGACCAAAAATATTAGAAATTGAAAATGAAGAGAAAGTTAAGGAAAATTACTGTTGTTGTAACCAACAAAACTTCATTTCCTTTCCTTTCAAAAATATTAGAATTAGTTTAATGATTCGGGAACTAATGAGATGTAAATATTCAAATATGCATTGGCGTCTTCCTCCCTTATTATGACAGATGCAAAAATATGTTGCAAGGCAAAATGATGCGGTATTACTCAACTGGTGTTTTCAAAGTTATAGCTCATCTTTTGACTTTCCTAGATAACGTGAATTTTATGTTTCTTTATAGCAGTGACGCCCCCTATCGGTCGAATTCCGAACTTCAAAATAATTTATGGCCATTTCTCTTTCCCACTTTGTTCATAAGGATTTTCCCCAAACCTCTAGGCCTTACCATTGTCGAGATACAGCCGCTCTGTGCCTGGTACAATTATTGGGCAAAATACTTGTTGAAACGATTTTAATAATAAATCCATGGTGTAATTAGTAAAGAATAAGTATTTACAATGTTAATTCCAACAAGGTTCACTTGAAACTTAGTTTAAATATTTTCCTTACAAATTTCATTTTTAACTTTTCCCTGGACCATCTATAAAAAATTACGTTTGACGCGGTGCTAAGATATCTACCTATCCCAGCAAATGTTTTCAAAAACTGTAACAATTTTGTCACTTTTGAGTGAAGGATCTATGATTGTGTGCAGAGGTATTAAATGAAAAACGAATTCATGGATCACTTTCTTTTATAAAGTCTTTCGATTATTATAAAACTAATGACCTAAGAGTGTTAAGTTTACATCTGCTCCCTATTTTGACACTCAGCAGTCGCAGATATTTTTTACTGTCATCCTTTTATGTCACAAATGGGGTTTCTGCACACTACCTGATATCGTGGATTTTCTATCTCGAGTTTTGGCACTAAAGCCGTATCATATAGCGAGAATTTGCCAGCGGCAAATATGCGAACTAAGATTTCTATCTCGCTCTATTCCATTGCAACTGTGTATTTCCATATCGTTTTTTCCTCCCCCTTCACCTTAGACCAAAACGCACTTTTCACATTTGCCAACCTTCACCTATCAGAAATCATGCATATACATTGCAAACAATGCAAGAGTAAAGGTTCGTATTTTTAATAAAAAAATATACATTTTCTAGGTTTACCTGGAAGCGATTTTACTAAATATAAACTATTACAGCACAAGACACGCCCCCATTTTAGTAATCGCAAAATATAATCGCTCTCAGCGCGATTTTGCTAAATATAAACTATTAGAGCACAAGAGACGCTAGCCCTTGACGTAATTGCAAAATATAAACGCGCTCTGCACATTCCTGCAAAATCTAATCGTTTGTAGCATGACGTGGCGGATCTAACCTCAAATTGTACTTGTTGTTAGAAGGTAATTATTATTGTTAGTGATCCCATTAAGAAATATTTAAAATATTTCCCCTTAAACTGATAATTCAGCACTTAAACTAGGGAGCAAATAATTTTCAAACACACACATTCCATTTAAATGTTTATGTCAACATAGTCTATTATAGAACTCTGCAAACTTATTAGTGGGGTTTTAAAGTGTAACGCTTCTGGTTATAGGAGAAGGACATATACAGTCACGTTATTAAAATAGGTAGGTATGCAATATTAGGCAGTATCCTAATATTAGGCGCCTTTCCTCTACATGTGCCATCACAACAGCTTTAATAATAATAATAAATAAATAAATAAAATAAAGGAAAACTATTAAAAGTTCAGCCGACTGCTCGCAGTAGAAGGAAGATACAAAATGTTAAAATGGGAGGAAAGAGAATTCAAAGTGGGCGCCCCATTTATATGAATCAGCCACGTTGTGCTGTCATCGATTGGATTTTGCAGGATTGTGCTGAGCTCGATTATATTTTGCAATGCTAATGTCTCTTGGTGCTCTAATAGTTTATATTTAGTAAAATCGCGCTGAGGCCGATTATATTTTGCAATGACGAAGTTGGGCGATTTTCTTGTGCTGTAATAGTTTATATTTAGTAAAATCGCTACCTGGAAGGAAATAATGCAGAAAAATTATCGAAAAAATTCTTCCTAAAAAACTACTTCTGGGGTAGGTACTTATAATGCAAGGTCAGAAAAAAGTTAAATAAAAATTCACTTTCTGCAAAGACTTTGTGGAATTTCCGAATCTTGCTATCCATTTAGTTTTATGATATAGAGTTAATTGACTTGGGATCTTCTCTATCACCATAATAATTAAGTGGTAAGATCGGTTCCAAAGACTACCAGGTCATAACCTGTTCTGTTTACTCAAGAATGAGCTAAGAAATGTCACCAAAATAAGTAATGTTTTTTTATTTGTCAAGATAATCTTGATATCATTCCATTAAGTAAGTTCATTAAGAAAAGGAGTATATTGGAGAAATGGTTTGTCATCATAGAATACTTATCTTCAACAGAATATTACTTACTATAAAGCATTCCTATGAATCCTGTAGATATTAAGATATTGCAGCATTAGTACCATTGGTAACTCCTACCATGTAAACCTAAACGAAAAGTATATCAACAAGTTCTAATCAATTCTATTTATTTTTTTAGTATAGCGACATACATTTTACTGTTTGATTGATTTTGATATGTTATATCATTCACAAGTATACAAATGAAAAAATAGTTAATCTAGTAAATACTTTTGAGCTTTACCTTGGTTTGAAAAAAAAAACATTTACTGAAGAGTTCACATGATTGAATAAATTTTAACATTAAATTTTATTTGAATTCCGACTAGTTATATCCAAAAATGTTATAATTTATTTTTGAAAAATGTTGACATATAGGAAATAAAAATATTTTGTTCAAAAATAAAAATACCTACATTGTTTTATTTCTTATGTACGGATAATATAATATGTACAGGGTGTTTCGCGAAACATCGAAACAAAGGCGTTTAGAAGGGTATTTTGAGGTCGATAAAAAAAATCGCTCGGACACGTCAATTTTGTATTCAAGGGGAAACTTTTTGAACCCATCGGTATTTCGCTAGGGTGCACCGCCTGGGTGGGGTTGCCTTCACCCCTCCTTTCTTAGACAGGGAAGATGGGTCGATTGGTACATACCTTGTTTAATGGGCTCTTTCACTAATTTTTGAAATTGGCATATTTTGATAAAGCAACTAAAAACAGAATTTTCTGTATTTTTACTTTTGAAAAATTCATAGTCCTTCTTGAGAAAACAGAAAAAAAAGAAATACCTCCAAATAAAAACCCAGAATTTATTTCTATGACGTCGCAGCTCGCAATTTGACCGTGTTGCCACTAATTGTCGACATTGAAAATTTGTAATAGATTTAATTTTGAAATTTTGGAAAAATATCATGAAAAGTAGTTAAATTAATTAGTTTATGGATTCAAGATTTTATAACTTTTTTATTGAAATTATGCTTAAACACAATTTAATATAATGTTTTAAGTTCAGTTTTTTTTACGTTGCACTATATTTAGTCACCACCGACAACAACGCATTCGAACCTTTACCTGCTTTTACTCCTTGCAACAACAAGCGAATTGAAAAATATTTATGTGACGTCAGCAAATCGGCGCGTTTTAAATCAATTTGAATTTCGCCAATTTCAAATGCCTGTAAAAAACTTATTTAACCTTGTAGAACATTTTTTTTTTATATATGTTACTGTAAATGCCCGAAATTCGGTAAAACCTAGGATAAGCGCGGTAAACCTAGGATTTACCAAAAGCAAGTGGTAAAAGCCCGAAAACTAGTTATTTTGCTTCCATTTCGGACTTTTACCGGACACAAAGAGTAAATCTTAGGATTTACCACACCGCATTGGTAAAAGTACGAATACCACTGATATACGTTACAGAAATCGATATCGTGAATCGATGATCGTTAAAATTTCAATGCCTAAAAATAAGATACCTACTTTATAAATGAAACAAAAAATCACACCAAAACACTTTTTATTTTAATATTTTTTAATGTAAACAGAAATCATAGTGGCCTTAAGCGAGATATTAAAAAACATTAATTCAGGTACTAATATTGCAAAAAGTAGGTTAGGTATAGTATTTCCAAACTCAATTTGAATAAGGTACCAACTGGTAGCTGACTGGTCACTGAAAATTTCCATAAAAAATGCATTGCCAGTCAGCCAGTTATGATTTATGTTCACCTTGTTCCAATTGACTTTGGAAAAACTATACTTGAATAATAAAAGAAAAAATCCTTTTATTTATTAAATAAAATAAGTGAATTAAAATGTCCACTAATAGAAATATCTATTTATTGGTACAGGGCAAACTTCCATGGCATTTAGAATTGCAGAGTATTTTAGAGGATCTGCACAAACATCTTATGGAGGAACATTGTCGAATGAAATTGCATTTCTTAAATCCTTGGTCACTACATAACGATAATTTTCGCACTGAACTTCTTACGCTAATTTCCTGAGATGAAACATCTCCAGGACTTCTTAGCGATTATCGTTTCACGATATTGATTTCTGTAACGTATCAGTGGTATTCGTACTTTTACCAATGCGGTGTGGTAAATCCTAAGATTTACTGTTTGTGTCCGGTAAAAGTCCGAAATGACAGCAAAATAACTAGTTTTCGGGCTTTTACTACTTGCTTTTGGTAAATCCTAGGTTTAGCGCGCTTATCCTAGATTTTACCAAATTTCGGGCATTTACAGTAACATATATATAAAATACCGCAAAACGGCTCTGTTTCGATGTTTGTTCAACACCCTGTATATACACCATCTCACCAATAAAGCTTTATAGATTGAGGCACAGTAACCGTAGCGACTGTAGACGGTGGAAATACACATTTAATAGGAGCGATTTATGACGATTTTGTTTTTACCGATCGGCTATATACCTACCTGTCATATTTGAAATGTTTTTGACAAAAAAAATATACATATTTAAGTTGTTGATTAAAATTTTGAAAATTATTAAATGCGAAAGTTTTTTCTTAGTTTTCTATCCACCTACCAAATTTTGGTTTTTAAATTTTTTATATTGAAACTTATATGTATTTAAATAAAATTTATATAAATATACAGGGTGTTCCTAAATATCATGTACAAACGAAAGGGGGTGATTCTTTGGTTAATTTTATGACTAAAATTTCTAATAAACATCGGTCCGCAAACGCTTCGTTACCGATCTACAGGGTGTTGAATTTTTTTTTTTTTTTAGGTTTTTCTTTATACCTCCTGTAATTTTTGATGGATTTAGCTCAAATTTGGAATATAGGTTACGCAATAGAAGCTGAATGATTGCACATATCAAACGTTTGCCAGAATCTACAGGGTGATGTTTTTTTAGGGGTCACGCCTCCTTTTCTGCCCATGAACTTTTTCGCGGTGCGCCGTTGGTCGATTCTAAGAAATAAAATAACTTTTCTACCCTATTTAGAAACTTTTTGTTCTCTTGTAGTTTTTTCGTATCACCGACCCTTATCGAGAAAAAAATTAAAAAACAAATCTCTGTAATTAACCAGATGAAACTAAAGTGACTCAATAAACCTTTTCTACCTAAAGTTGCGACAATAGAGGTCCTGCAGCTGTATTCTTGCTCATTTTCAATGGGAATCTAGAAGTAAGACACCTCTCGCCGCCATATTCTTGCTCATTTTCAATATGAATACATTAAAATTTCAACACCCTGTAGATCGGTAACGAAGCGTTTGCGGACCTATGTTTATCAGAAATTTCAGTCATAAAATAAACCAAAGAATCACCCCCCTTCCGTTTGTACATGATATTTAGGAACACCCTGTATAAATACTATTTCATAATTTAAATAGTTTGGAAATATTATAGATTGATTAGGTTATCAAGAACTGGAGGTTTATCGATATCATTTTTTAACCGAAATGCTCTGTTATAGGTAGGTACTATGCTGTGTGGTACTACGAGAAAAATGAATGAAGTGAACTTTCCTATCCTTTGAAATGTTGAAGCTAGACTTTGCGTCAAGTAGCAAAATTACATAATCTTGTTTACATATTTGGAATTTTCCTGAATAATCTGTTTTAGACATTTGTTGACAAAAAAAACCTTTTTGGCAGATGAGTGTATTCCATAAATTATAGTACATAATTGTCAGGTTTAGTTAAAGGTAACCCTAAAAAACGACTGAATAAGCTACTTAAATCAAGAAAAAAAATCTCGTTAAAACCGCAGCCCTATATTCAAAATAGTCTCCGAGAAAATTCCGTGTGAAAATAAATTATGCAGGAACTCGTGACGTCACAACCGCCGAAATCGCAGTCTTCTGTTCGTTCAGTCCTCAGTGAACCGTACCCTATACTCTGAGTGGTTGCAATTCGCTTAGTGATATAATTGTCTTTTGTTTTGGAAAATTCTTACACGTGTTAATATTGTGCTTGATAATCCAGCGTGACGTCACAAACACCTAGTTGTAAGTTAAAACCGCCCTAACTTGAAAACGGACCATCGTAGCAAGACGCGGTTTGAATACTTATTCTTAGATTTTTTTGCACTAAAACTTTCATTTTTGGGTCACACCCCCTTTAAATTTGGCTCAACCAGAAAATTGTTTGTTTAAAAAACCGTGAAATAAATTAAGGTTATCGAAATTTGGTAGGTAGGTAGAAAACTAAAAAAGAAAGAACAATAGAATTAAAATTTTTCCAAGTTTTAGGAAATGACTATACTTACTTGGACTAGGACATATACCTACCAAATTTAACATACCTCTACCTAGTCGATGCGAAAAAATTGTCAACGGCATTTTGTAATACAGGGGCGAGTTCAGGAATGACACACCCAGTGTGAGTGTGACACCGGTGCGACGCCCTAGCTGTTCAAAAATGCTAGACGATGCTATGGGCCCAATGGCCAATTGTCAATTCAGACACACCCATATAATCGCACTTGCACCCTGTGCGTTATTTCTGAACTCGGCCCAGAGGTATTTTCAAAGCAAAAACTGTGTATGAGAGCTAGAATTGCGTACAAAGTGAATAATAAAAAAATGATGGGTAGATACCTACTTACTTTAATTAATGGTGACAATACTCCATACTAGACAATGTCATTTTACGAATCCAAAATTTATACATGTCCTGCTACAGCTGTACCCAGTGATCCAGTTTCTTGTTATTATGTATTTATGACTTAGCAGCGTTAAATATAAAAGGGCAAATACCTTTATTTACATAAACCTTCTCGCACATGCAAAAAACAATACAGTTCTAGGTGATGATAACTAAAAACTCCTCCGGTTTGTGGAGGGATGCTGCAATATGCTTCGCTAATAAACTGCAATTATACCGTCTAATAACATTATTGTCTAAGAAAAACCCAATAAAAACTTTAATAACTAAATCTTCAAGCAAACTGTGAAAATAAAACCTGCAATAACATCAATGGAATCAACAGGGCCGTCTAAGAGAGCTGAAACTGTACTTACCATGTAGGAGAAAAATAGCAGCAGGGTGTCATCTTGGATAATAAAAAAAGGTGGTATATGGTATGTTTGAGCGATAGGTGCCTGATGTTTGAGCCGAGAGTCTTTCCTCCGGAGTTTAAAGTGTTTGCTATGACCTAAATATGACAGATTCTCAACTTGGAAAAAGGGTTTTGTTTTTAGTTAATTATTATTCACATCAATAGGTGTTGCGTTTTTAAGCTTGGGGTATAGTGATTGCCAGAAGAGCTTCAAAATATGAATCCAGCGAATTCGAAATCTATCGCAATTTGAAAGTCAAGATCAAACTTTCAAGCCTGCCATCC